ATCTAATTGATGTTGGGCATGATATGGAGGAAAATAATTTAGATCCTATTAGAAGTGGTAAAAGTGTAAGCCATTATATGAAAAAATTGAGTGTTGGGGACCGAGAACTCTCAAAGTCAAACCATCCCTAATCCAATTTTCAAGAAGGATCTAAAAGAGGAATCAGATCAACTAATAGCATGTTTTTCTACACAAGTGCTATTCCTATCAATTGTGTGAAAAATTCAATATTTCAACAAATGTGTGAAGCTTTTGACAAGTTTGGCCAAGGATTCAAAGCCCCTTCTTACCATGATATAAGAGAGAGATATTTGAAGCAAGAGGTGAATAGGACAAAAGCTTCACTAGATGCCTAGAAGATTGAATGGAAAAGAAAAAGGTTGTTCCATCATGTCAAATGGGTGAATTGACAAGAAAAAGCAATCTATTTGTAATTTTTCAGTGAACAGCCCTAAAGAGACAAGTTTTTTATACTCAATTGATACATCAAATATTTTTAAGACAATTAATATAACACCCATATATTTTAGCGAATAGATTAGAAATTAGTCTTTTATTTTAAATTTTTGGGGATTAAATTGATTAAATTTAGAGTTTGGGAGTTATAAATGAAATTACCAAGTGTGATGTGTGGGGACACACTCTCCAGTTGAAATTTCTTTCAATTATCACTGTTTGTCTCAGTTTGGTGCTTTGCTTTTCATAGGTAAGTATGAGTTTTAACAATAGATCTGGGTTAGCATTTTGGATAGATTATAGATTTTGCTATAATACTAAAAATTAGTGAAATCTGACTCTAAATATTTTGTTTAAGAGATTTTTGAGTATTAATGTAACATCCCATATACTTTAGTGAATAAATTAGAAATTAGAGTATTTTATTTTAAAGTTTTGGGATTAAATTGATTGAATTTAAAGTTTAGGGGTTTAAAATAAAATTTAGTAAGAGTTGAAGGTGTTTAACTATATTATGCCAATTGGAGACACATGGCAAAATGACAACCAAGTATGTTGTCTTGAATTGAGAAAGGCTTGTGGAGCACCCGAGCTTCTTTGGGAACATTTTATAAAAGAGAAACCCCTTTTTGAGTTAAAACTCCTATAAACTCATTTCTTTCCGCTCTTTTGAGCGTCCACTAGGAGAGGAGGTTTTTGTAGATTGCAGCATAGAGCGAACAACCTGGTGACCACCTTCTCTAACTTCTACTATTAATTTCCTACTGTTTTCTTTAGTTTGGTGTTTGGATTTCCAAAGGTAAGTATAAGTTTTAAGATATGAATTTGGGTTAGAGTTTTGGTTATGGATTTGTTACAATAAACTAAAAATTAGTTTAAATTAATGGAACTTGACCCCAAAATTTTAGTTTAGTAAATCTTTGGGCATTAAAATTTTGTTAGGAATATATGTCAATTTTGGGGCTTGTACGGGAAAGATAGTGTTTTTTTTTTTTTTTTTTATGCTTGATTTGGTGTGTATTTTATGGATTAAATAATCTGTTGTTGTTGCCTTGTGATTCTTGCATATTTTATGTAATGATCTCTTGGGTTTTAGTATGGTTAAAATAAGAATTTATATAATTAATTAGACCTTGCTAGAACCGTGCATGAGCCTGAAAGTAAATTGCTACTTCTCTAATTACTGTCCACTCATAATTACTGTTCATGCATTGGTACTGTTTCCGAGCTGATTATTGTTCATGCACTATACTTTAATTTCTTTCCACAGGAAGTTCTATGGAATATGTAAGTTGTGTATGTGGATATTAGTTTGAACTTGAATTGTTCACGCCACTAATTAATGGGAATATTAAATGGAATAATATTCTAATATTATTTTGAACATGTTCTAAACTTGTTTGACATGTGTATGTCTTTGTGGTTATGGAGTAAGTGGACCTAAATTTAAAGGTTGAGGTATTCAGTGGCCCCTTGGAGTATTCAGTAGATCCTTCGGGGTATTTAGTAAATCTCTGTGCAATAAGGTTAATACTGTGATTAGCTCAGGTACAGTATTACTAGCACACATCAATGGATTCCATAGTATTGTGTGATTTTTGATTTTATGTATTGTATTTGTGACATCGTATTTGTGAGCATATTATTTTATTATATGAATTTGATTTAAATGTCATTGATTATCCCTTGATTATCCCTTGACAAGTGTGATTATGATTTGAGATATTAAATTATTATTTAAATACTGAGAATTATAATATTATATGGTTTGGTTCTGTTGTATCCCGTATTCTTTGTGTGTATAGGTTTAAGGGTCTTAGGACCTAAGTTTGTAGCTTAAACTTAATACTTACTGGGCTTTTTAGCTCATAAAATTCCCCTCTATTTCAAATTAGTAGACTAGAGTAGCGGCCACTCATCTTGAGAGCTTTCGATATAAATCTCGTATGCCAACCTCAGTGCTTTTGATGTGAAGGTGGAGTAATGTATTACTAAAATGATAATTTACTTTTATTATTTTTAGAAAGTATTTTGAAAAGCGATTACTCTTATCAATATTTTCTGTATAAATTACTTTTATGTATATGACATTAAAATTCATTTAAATGGGCATAGCCTATCTTATTTTATAACTTTGAGTTATTTGATATTTTCCTTAAGATATTTTTCATTAAATTAGTTTTCCTTTATAGGTAATTGATTTTCTTTCTATAAAGTCTTAAATTATTTGAAAGTGGGTTTTTCTTATAAGGAAATATTTTATATTAGAAGAGTTTTTTTTACTTCCGCTGCAGTCCTTTCTTACAGATATTTTCAGCTGTTTTTTTTTTTTTTTTTTT